ATAAATCCTTCCTCCCTTGCCACTGGTTCTTTTTCAAGTTCTCTGCCATGGCTTTTGCCTCCCCTCCTCCAACCTCAGCCCTTCCAGCACTCTGGGACATGGTTGGACCTCCCGGTTCATCAGGGATTCCTCCTGACGACCCCAGATACTTGTGTCACCATAGAGCCAGCCAGTGCACCCTGTCACGCCTCTTCATTTGAGTCCTAGCATTGGGCTTGCTCAGACACAATCAGTTCAGCATCACCGTTTGCTCTGTGCCTTCAGGAGTTCCCCCTTCCAGAACGTCCCTCCACCCTCATGACACTTGGTCCCTTTTTCCTTCCCCCATGTGAAATCCGTGCTCAGAAAGACAGTCTTTACACCTTAGAATCTCGTCCTTAGGCACACAGAAACAGAACAAGAGTTCCAGAATACTAGACTCATATGCAAAAGGTCATTTTAGAATCACATTTGGAATCACAGAATCTAGAATGACAGGCTCTCTAAACACTGTTGTCCAAGAGTGGCCCCCTCCTACTGAGATCCCCTGGGGTGAGGGGACCTGTTAAAAACACTGCAGATTCTTGGGGAACATTTCTCACGTGGGCTGAACCAAAAATCTTGGAGCTGGGAGCCCAAGGATTTGCACAGGTCACCGAGACCCCAGGTGTTTTGGGTACACCCACTAGTTGAAAAACCCTTGCCTTGGGTCAAGAGAATCTGAGAATCATATGATCCTGAGTCCTAGTCTTATAGGAAAAAAATATTGAATCATGGAACCATAGGCTATTTTAGGATTAATAGAGGCTTAGATTCAACAAAGTACACACATTCATGCACAGCTTTAAAATCTTAAATCTATGAATCTTAACGTCTAGAATTGTGGAGCTGGAAGTGATCCTGCAGTGTGATTTTGTTCCTGTTCCAGGAGGAATTTTTCCTTTTCAGCCTTGCCGCTCCTTTTCCCCCTGTCTCTTGCAGAGCTGCCTCCTCAGTCTTGCCTGTATTTGTGAAGATAAATGTTCTCTCCATCCTGGTGCAAAGGCCACTGGTGGAACCCCTTCATTTATAGAGCGAGTGAGCTGGAGATGACTTCTGCTTTCCATTTAGGACTGGCACACCCTGGCCCATAAGGCAGATTTTCCTCTTTGATAAAATGAATCTGAGGGGACATTATTGCTGTTGTAATAAAACAGGCATAGCCGAGGAACAGGGACAACATTAATAAGCTCATGGAGCTTTATGTCCAGGAGATGAATCACGCATAAAAACTCAGCACTGAAAAGGTACTTTTCTGGTCATCTGACCCAGTGTCTTCAGTTTACAGTTGGAGAAACAGAGGTCCAGAAAGGGAAGGAACTTTCTCAATGCCACACAGCAAGTTAATGAAACTCTTAATTCCTAAAGTATTGAGTCCCAGCTGTGACTCAGTATTACAGCTCTACACTTCTTAAAACCCTCCAGCAAGCGAAGCACCATTCTAGGGGTGATACAGACGTCAGCCCTTTCAGCTCATGACAACCCTATGTGGTAAGTTTTTTTTCACTCACTTATTCATTTATCAAACATGTATGGAGGCTCTGAGACTCACCAGGTACTCTCCTAGGCAATAATGTATAAGAACTTTTGGCATTTCTCTTTCCTCTCCTTATTCCACGGCGAGAGATGCAAATACTCCACAGAGAGAAAACACACGGACCAATTCACACGCTCAAGATCCTTTCAGATCAGAGCCTCTGATGTGAAGCACTCAGGAGCGAGCCCACTGACAGTCAACGATAATACAGCACGCTAAGTGCTGTCCTAGTGAAGAGGCAGCTCCGAGGAGGAGAACCAAAAACACACAGCTTTCAGGGCAGATGGGATTGGAAGCCCAACGCAGTGGGGGTGGACAGGGTGGCTGGCTCCGGGGCTGTCCGAGTCAGCTCAGAGGCACCATGGAGGACAGAGTGATGGACTCTGGTCACGTAGAGACACGAGTGAAATCTCAGCAGCTCTCGGCCCCTTCCAGATAGTGTGGCGTCTCTCTGAGACTCAGTTTCCTCCTCAGTGAAATGGGGGAATGATCCCCACCTCCGAGGGCGATTGTGAGGCAGAATTAAAACAGTGTTTGGGAAACAGCTGCACAGTTTAAGCAAGTGTTAATCCTCTTTCTTTTTGACAGCCGAGCAAGGCAGGATTTCTGGAGTTTGGGGCAATGCAACCATTAAACAAAGCCTCCTTTTATGATCTCTTGGTCAGAGAACTCTGCCTCATGAGTCCCCTGAGTTTAAGTTGGAGTGGGAAGAAAGACTTTGAAGCTTAGAGGAAAATGAGAGAGATGTTTCCTCTACTTCTTTACCTCCTCCGTTCTTTTCCAACTCATAACGACCAGGAGTATCATGTCCCTAAATGGGAATTCCCTGAATGACGTCCAGAGGGGGCTTAGAGTTCAAGCTCAAGGACAGGAGGAATTTTCCACCCGCAAATCTAAAAATGGCTGCTCTGGGCCACTCCATCTCCAGTTGTTTTTTTCTGGCAGAAGAACAGAATGAAATAAAACCACCTGTCATTTGGCAAACAAACAAGGGGTTGGAGAGGTCTTGGGAAGACGAAGCCAGCAAAAAGCTGAAAGGGTTGACAAGGAAGGAATTTTCATGTACTGAGTCTCTCACTGTGGTATGTGATTGAATCCCCACCCCAGTGCCTCTGTTACCTCAAATGTCCTCACCTTTACTTTATATTCAGATCACGATACTCATACTCAGAGAGGTTAAGCACCTTGTTCAGAGTAACACAGCTGAGAGGTGGTGGCATCAGCAGTACTGGAACTTGGTATGTCTCTCCAGGGGGCCACATTTTCAGAGGGGAACTAGGTGGCTTTCTGGCAGCCAAGCCGGGGTCTGCAGGGCAACTGGTCCAAAGTGTGAGTGACCCTGTCAGGGCACCTCTATGGGGACCTTGTCATAAGCTGGTCCTTAATGGGGCTGAGTGTTCCAAGTCTGAAGGTGATCAAAAGTGATGGGGGCTGTAGGTCAGGGCCCTGGAATTCTGCCCTAAGAATTTAAAGTTAAAAAAAAAACAAACAAAAACCCTCTGTGGCTGTCCTTTGCTCACTTCTGCTCAGTTCAGCTCAGCCTGGCTCTTAACACCAGCCATCTAACCATTGCTCCTGCCTCTGCTCTTGCCTTCAGATTGACTTTCTAACTGGCTTCCAGATCCGTAGGAGAATCATAGCTTTCTAAAACATGGGCCTGATTGCATCATCCCCCTCCTTAAAACACATGGTGGTCACAGCTTATTTTGCCACCTAGCACCCACTCCTCCCTCGCGTGGCATCAGCTTTGGAGGAGCCAACCTGTGTATTTCACTTGGAGCCACGGATGGATCACGTGACCTGGGCTAAGCCAATCAGCGCGTAGGTCTCCCCGGCCCCTCCAGATCAGTGCAGGGATAGTCACACGACCGAAATCGGACCAGTCCGGGCCAGAGACACTCACCTCTGGGACTTCTGCTTGAGCTAAGGGAAATGGACACTCTTTTAAGCTTTACTGAGGTATGAATTGGGCTTCTCGGGAGTTAACCACATGGAGCCTCAGAATGGGGATCAGCTCAGAGCAGGTAGAGCCAAGAAAAGGAGAGGGAGAAACTCTAGCCTGGTAACATTGTTTCCACCTTGGATCAAGCTGTGCCTACAGCTCCCCCGGGTCTTGTCGTTTTTTATGAGCCAATAACCGCCCCTTCCTTTTCGTTCTCCTTAAAGCCGCTTTAAGTGGCTTTAGTTTTTTTTTTCCTTGCAACCAAAAGATTCCTAACTGACACAAAAATCCTTTAGTGTCTTCTGGTTGCCTTCAGGAGAAGGTACAAATCCTTTAAATTGGCCCTTAAGGCCGTGCATGATCTGAACCACGCTCTCCTATTCCATTAATAGCCACCTATGCTCCCTGGATACGCTGCCACCTGGCGTGTCTGTGCCTTTGCCCACGCCGTTTGCTCCCAGAGGGGCCTTGTCTGCTCCGTTCAGTTGGCACACTTTTATTTTGACCATCATGGCTCAGCTGGAGCAGAGAGGAGCCCCCCTGGGAAGCAAGGCTGAGTCAGGGCTGTCCTGTGTACTGCCACATGGACCGCTTCATTGCAGCATCCCCGAAACGAAACTTTGCACTTGGAGTTGGTTTTCTCGTCTGACTTTCTCCCTAGATTTTGCACTCTTTGGGGAGGAGGGGGTCATTGAGCCTGAGGGATTCATTCACTCAGCAAATATGGACTGAGTGTCTACTACAGGCTGGGGCCTCCTCTAGGTCCTGGGGACACAACAGAGAGAAAAATAACTCTACAAATTCCCATCTTGTCTGATGGGGAAGCAGATGCTGCTCGAGTAAACACACACGTGGGCCCAATCATTTCAGAAGGTGGTGGGGCTGTGGTGTAGTAAGACCTGGGGAAGCTTGCTCCTGCCTCTGGGCTGAGCCTAGAGAAGGTCCAGGCTCAAGGCAGACCCTCAGGAAGTGTCTTTTCCATGAATGAACAGGGAACATCCCCAGACACCCTGGTGCCCCTCAGCCTTCCTTTGTGACTATCACTCAAAACGCTACCAGAACCTCTTTGTTAGTGATTTAGTCCCCATTTCCAACCTGCACCCCCTCCTGGGGAGGCAGAGTCACAGTTACGTAAATGATATTTGTATATGTGTGAGACGCTTACCTTTCCCGATGGAAGCTGAACAAAGCAAGACTCTCTTTGACTTCCCGGTGCGGCTCCATCCCTGTCTCGGTCCAGCCTCAAGAAGCGGTGTGCTCCTCTGCCCGACTTTGATCCAGGCTCTGCCTGGCCTTCATCTTCCCAGTCCTCACTCTTCCATCTCCCTCCCCGGGCCTGTCGCCAGCCCTTTGATCATCTCTGTGACTCTCCTCTGGGCTTTATCTGGCTCCATTAAGACGATGACACTTCTTCCTGCTTGTGTCACTCCCATGCTCAAAGGCCTTCAATGACTCACTATGGCCGACAGCGTCAAGTCCATACCTGCGAGGGCCCCCCTTGCTCTGCCTTCTGCCTCCTTTGCCAGCCTGTTTACCATGATTCGTCTCCTATGCGGTGCTCCCCGCTGTAGCGCCCTCAACATCGCTGATCTTCATTTTCTTCCTCTATTAATTTAGGCATCCTTGGCTGTCTCCTCCCACTGGGATTGTAAGCTGTTTGAGAGCAAGGACTGTGTCTTCCTCATTCCTGAATCCCCAGCATCAAACCCGAGGACTTCCTCATTGTGAACGTCCAACAACTATTTCCAGAGGTAAAATCTGTGCATGGCATTGCCCTGCCCCCTGGGGGTTGAAATGGCTTGTCCTTGGCACTTGGGCTGTCAGGGCCCCATCGCAGGTGAGGGGACTTGCAGACCTCAGCTCCTTGCTGGGCCACAGGTGACAATAATAGTGCGGGCAGTCTCATTTTAATCTTGTGCTTGCCCCCTTTTTGCATTTCTTAGTTCAAACCCCAAACCCCAAGAGTCCCTTCCACACTTCGGCCCCATCACTATGGTATTTTGTCATGGGGATGTTTTTGGTGTTGTTTGCTATGGTGACACACATTTTGGCCTGTTCGGTGTCTCTTTGGCATCTTGTTTCCCCCCAATTCAGGCCTTATGGTCTGGGTGGGGCTGACTCCATGCCCCACTTCCATGGGTGGGTGGGCATTAGACTCCCAGCCAGCCAATCAGCACACTGTTAGCTCTGGCCGCTGTGATTGGCTGAGGGTTGGCAAGGGATACAAACTAAGCCAATGAGAGCCAGCTCTGGGACTTTAGCTGGAACCAGTGAGAAAGAGGCTTTTTATTTCTATGGGATTTGCAAGGCTGGCAGAATGTGGGCCTGAGCAGCTGGACCTTTTTGCCACCACCTAGAGAGAGCCTGCCTGAGAGTGATGCCAACACAGAGGAGAGCAGAGCCAAGAGAAGGGAGGGAGGCAAATTCCTGATGACAGCGTTTGAGTGTCCAGATCCCGATGTGCCTTTAAGCATCATCGGCTCGTGTACTTTTCCATTATGTGACCAGTAAATGCTGTATTTCTATTTAAGTGGCTTTAATGAGGTTTCTGCCTTTGCCACCTGTGAGGGACCTGCTGACATCTGTGACATTGGGGCTGTATGGCTCCCCTTCAGTGAACTTCTAACCACACAGGCTCTGGGCTGAAAGGACCCTCTGCTTAATACTGTCACATTCCAAGAAGGAGCTGATCATCCTGGTCCCAGTTTTCTGTCTTGATGTCTCTTCCTGTCTCTTCTCATCTGTGCAACGTGGTCCCCGTGGTCATGTTGACTTAAGTGAGAGAAAGAGCTCACATCGTGGGTCCTTGCTCAAAGCTTTGCCAAAGCTCAAACTTCATAGCCACAGATCCCAGTTCATATATCCATACCCCCTCAAAAATGTACATATTTTTGGCCAGGAGCTCTGCAGTCTCACCCTTGAGTGGCATCCGCATTCTTGGGCCGGTGCCATTCCTTTCTGGCGATTTGTCTGCAGCTCGTTTGTCAATTGGAGTTGGAACATTTGCCCGTCAGAGCGGTGCCTCTGGCTCCCCTAATTCTAAAGAACGATTTGGGAGCAAGACTTTCCCTGCGGTCCTCCTCAGTCAAGGCTGAGGCTGAGGCTGCCTCAGACGTTCCGGGCACCTCCTTTTCATCTCTGAGCTCTCTCCCAGAGTGGTGCTCGTCGAGCGTCTTGCCGGTCCTTTGTCTGACCTCGTTGCATTTGATGGGTTTGAAAGACCTCTGGCTCTTGGCCCCACAGTGCTTCTCAAGGTGACCTTTGGGATGTCTTTGGACTGTATCATTTCAAGGCCTCACTGCCCCGAGTAAACTTCCTGATTCTAAGTCACCAGTTTTCAAGGGTTTTCTGAAAGATGATCTTTTCCTTGCAACAGCCCCCAGGACATCCCTCTTCAGCTTGCTGTTTGATTTTGTCTTGTTTTGTTTCTCATCATCATGGTCAGACCACACTGGGCTATGGTTGGAGGAGGGAGGTTCTGTGCAAGGTTGATGGGGCTCATAGAAGGCTCCACCATCTCGATGCCAACACCTCAACACGTGGCTTCCAGGATGACTGTGGCGGAAAGGGAGACCTGGAATGTCACAGAGGTCCCCATGGCCCCAGCTGGGAGGTGATCTCGTGGGCTAGCTTCTGTTTGCTTCTCCAGATCCACTCCCCCCACTCCCCACCCAGCTCTGGGCCCAGGAGGCCCATCCATATGGACCAACTGACAGGCTCTCTTTGCCCCTGGGCTTCTGGTTGGGTTTTATCATTGGGAGTTACTGGCAAGAACTGGAGGATTGGAGGCAGGTGAAGAGCAAGATGAGAGTGTCCCTCGGCTGAAAGCCACTGCTCCTGTCAAGTGGTCCTTCCCATCTATGTACCCTCTCCAGGCTTGGCGACCACTCCCTCCTTGCCCTTTGGGCTTAGAGGTGGTGGTGGCTCCCCACCAATCCTGGCCCTGGGGAGCTGCACTGTCCCTGTGGGACCTGCCTGTTCTGCCTGCGCCTTCATGAAGCTCTCCTCCAATGGCCCACAGGAAGGGTTCCATGTGTCCTGCCAGATTCTCACTGATAATCGACACGGCTGCTCACCACTCACTGGCCAGACCTAGTACACTTGGACTCACTGATTACTTGCCCTTGAGGAGAAAGGTAAGCAGGATGTGGGTGTGCTCTGGCCACCCCCCCCCTCAGGCACATGGCTCCCAGTCCTTGGCACGAGCACCCTGGGATCCTGGTAAGGTCTTTCCAAATGAGTTCCCGCACGTCTTAGGGTGTACCACCTTTCTCAGCTCTTTCAAATCTTCTCTCCCAGGGCACAGCAGAATGGAAGGGAGCTGTCCTGACCGTGGACTTCGGGCAAGTCAGCCTCCCTCTCGGATCCTACGTTTCCTCATTTGTAAGGTGGGGTAGTGCCTCTTTCTGCGGACATACTGCAGAGCTGAGATAGTGCATACATGGCCCTGGCCCAGGGAGGGATGCAGGAAATGACAGCGAGAATTCACCATCACACCCCTGCCTTGGAAAGATCAGCATCTATGCACTCATTTAACACCGTTTCTTGAGCACCTGCTCAGGGCTGGGCACATCTCGGTGCTGGAATAGGGGTGGACAAACAGAAGAAGGTCCCTGCTTCGTGGGTTTCTGGTGGGAGTGGACAGGCAATTAACAAGTACATGGAAAAACAGATAATTCAGAGAGTGGTGAGTGCTCTGAAGAAACAAAACTGGGTGATGTGAGGAAAAAAAAGATGGGGTGGGGGGGTGTCTGGGAAAGCCTTCTGGGGATGACACTGGAGCTTGACCTGAGCGTGTAAAGATCTGGGGCAGAAGATAGAGCCCGAGATGGTGTGAAAGTGGTCTGTTCCTCGGACAGAATGGAGCCCATGTGGAGGGGAGAGTAGGGAGCGAGGGGCAGAGCAGTAGGACCCGAGGTCAGAGAGATGGGCTGTCCCAGTCTTGTGGGCCCTTGTCAGCCACACTGAGGGGCCTGGATGATACTGAACTGGGACGGCTCCATTCACTGGGAGGTTTCAAACAGCAGATCAAATCCACAGTGAGTCTTTGGTGGGTCTTTTTCTGTCCCCAGTACCAAGTTTTCTGATCTCATTAGCCCGGGCAATTTCTTTAACAAACTGAGGGCCTCTGTTAAGGATCT